ACGGCTTGGTGGCTTTAACTCTTAATGTCAGGAGATATGCCCATTAACAGCTTCGAGAACAAAGATACGCGTTATTCAATTCTTTGCAGGTAAACGCAAGATTTCTAGGCATCATCTGATAGAGCTTTTTACGCTCTATCCATCCATATGCAGCTTACCTCAGATTTTATCTATCTTCGGAAAATATAAGGCAAAACATGATTTTTTGGTTTTTTGTTGCGCCAAAAATAGCTATTTTTCAGGTTTGTTCGATTTTTTCTTCTGAAATTGAAAAGAAATCTCAAGCATTTAACATATCTTCGAAAGAGCATGAAGAGCTCTTTCGAATGGTATGTCATTTGCTTTACGACTTTACGGTATAACAGCGCAAGATTGAAAATTGCTCAAAAAACCCTGTTCGAGTTCTTCACGGCGCCACGTGTAGGGTAGTGGAAGAGGAGTGTTAACGCGTTGTCAGAATAATAAGCGAAGGTCGCCCATGTAAGCAACGTTTAAGTTGCCGCTTACTTGCTGTTGCCCGAAACAAAAAAATTCCAAAATGTAATGAAAATCAAGCTGTCCCATTTTTTACCGTTCACCCTAATATGATGGATTCCGCGACGATGGAAGTAGACAATGAAAATGAAGATCGCCTCAGCCATTTGTAAGACTGCACGACTGTAGCTCGCGGATATGCCACGGAGGCACCATACCAGCAAAGATGATAAACTGAACTCGTAAGCAATTAGGACTGGGGAACGTCGATCCAAAGGATGCAGTGATGTATTCGGAAGATACAAAACTATAGCGACAACCTACAACAGTGAGAAGAATCCGACTCATAATTTTTACTCTGTATTCTCGTCGCACAAAAATAAAAGTCGACTACGTCATGATGATCTGCGATACTCTGCCTTACCACAGACTACTTCCTCACCATCTCACGCCAGCTGTCATGACTACATCAATCTGGACTCCGACCCTATCTGCCTAGCTGCTCAGGAACGTCCACTACGATATCCCGACAAATATGTATTTCTATATATCCAAGCTATTTATTTTCACAAATTGCACATTTTTAATCTTTCTATTCACCTCGTTGGCCGGAGTGTGCCGACTTTGTCGGCACCTTCCTTGCAACTTATCATTACTTCTGCTGAGCACCTTAGAGGTCATGCCATAAGCATGACCTGCTGTGATATGAGTGTGTTATTGCCCAGATGTCTGTGATATTACCTTACCACGTCTTCAATCCTCAGCATTCTACCACTGCACATATGGGTGCACGTCGTTGTTCAATAAAGCTCTAATAGCTCACGTGTTCTAATAACATATCAGGAGCCACCATACTCATTGCAGGCAACCACCCATCCGCCTAAGGCTACGATAGAGCCTACCAATCACTAGAACTTCCTTTCAAAAAATACGTGAATTTTCTCCACTACACTACCAAGAACGTACTGTCGCGCAGATTTGTAGCGTACCATAATAATCTACATTATATTTAAAGAGGAATGTGTCACTCTCAAGCAGAGAAAGGTGACAAAACCATTGCAAAACTTATGTGCTACTACTATTTAAAAAACAAAAGCTATTTGAAACAATAAAAGATCTTCTTTAAACAAATTTTGGTGTCTGACTATGTCTATTTTATGAGATTGCGTGTTTCATTCCATATGGAGAAAGCTGGAGCGGAGGAGGCTTCTCCACTCAATATATGTGGTTTACACATGATCTGGGCAGCCGTACTCTCAGGGCACAGCACAGGCGGCTTGCCAAGAAAGCTGAATATCGTTTTTGGGAGAAAAAGCAAATGAGATATCCTTTTGCGGAATGGTATACCACTGTCTTTTTCGGTATGAGGTCCTGCTGCCGGCATCCCAGCGGCATGCTCTCCCAAACAAACAAAGGGCTTGCTTACAGCGAATTGAAAACGAAATGACACCAAAATTGGTGTGTAGCCGGGCAATGAGGATTTGGGACTGTGTAAAATTTATGAAAAAATCATGTGAACTGAAGGCGTGCTCAACTTTTTTCGGAATTAGGTGGCTTTCAAGCCACCTAAAAGCCACCTAAGGTGGCTTGGAAAAGAAAAAGTCATAAATTTTTCATCCTTCATGTAATTTTTTATTTCTTTGCACAAATTTCATCTACATACCCAACACTCCAAACGATCTCTGAACCGCCTCAAACCCCCTCTTCCCCACCCAGTTACAGACCCTTGAAAAGTTTGAATGGCGACGGCAACGCTGCTCCAGACACGTAGTGCTGCGCGCTGGATACATCATGCCGACAATGCGGAGAATACAGTCTGCTCCAATCAGAATCAGGCCGAACCGTCGGCACAGAGTTGAGCGCTCGCAGCGCTAGCGGTCTGCGCTGCATATGCGCGCTGTCGCAGAGAGCAAAAGGATTGAAGAGAGAGCACAGAAGAGGCCGAGGGCGTGACCGCGAAACACTAGCGACGGGGACTCCCGCCATGCCAATTTTGGCCCGGTTAGGATTGGGGCAGACTGTACATATTATCGCGTTTGTTTGATGCTTTTTTCGCGTTTTTTGTTTTGCTTTGTTCCGTTCCTTTTCCTATGTTTTCTCTCCAAATATCTCATGGCGGATGATGTACTTTCATAGTGAAGTCAAAGGAGACTTCGTTTTTTGCATTTTCGGGACGCTACCTCGAGTTCGGCCCTGCGTATGCTTGCTTTGCTTGAAAACTCTCTCTCACACTAAAACATTACACTTGGGACCGAATCGAATAATTATTCGATCATTCGAATAAATCATTCGAATTCGAATGATTCGAAAAGTCGAATATTCGAAAATCTGAGATTTCGAATAAAATTCGAAAGTCGAATATTCGAAATTTTCAGTTTTCGAATATATTCGATAATCGAATATTCGATTCGAGGGTCATTCATTCGATCATTCGATGTCCATCAAATATTCGAATATTCGTTGAGCACCGAATATTCGGAAATTCGATAAGAATTGACTATTCGAAAATTCGATAAGCACCGAATATTCGAAAATTCGACATGCATAGCGTATACGGGGTGTCTCAAAAGTATTTATACACCGTTTGATCGCTAATTCCTCTCAAAGTCTTTTGCCAATTTCTGGGCAACATCCAGTAGGGATGGCTTCAGCTTATAAATACAGCAGAAAGCGAATCACACCCATGTTTTTCTGTGTGTTATCACGGTAGGAAATCGGTATAGACCAACTGCAAAATAAACATCCAAAAAATTGTCACCAAAAAAGGTCTAAAATCTGTGCAGCAGTGTTTATACGTATACTAATTTTACTACGCACGAGTTTTCAAGCTTTTCAAATGGCAGTCACATTTTTGAAAGCCGTTGCAAAACACTTGTTGCGGTGTACCTGGTGTAAGTTTCGAAAAAAAAGCATTACGGTTGAGCGCAAATTCTACATGAAGTGGGTGTCTTCAGAAGTCTAATGCAAGACTTTCGGCCCTTTTAATTCTTTTGCTTGGGGAATTGGCTCTTGATGTTTCAAAACACGCTTCAATCTTACGGTATTGTACAACAGTGAAAAGCGATTGATATAAAGCCACATATCTAAGTTGATGCCAGCCTACAGATCTAGATACTGTTGGGACCGCTCTATATCCAATCGCAACTCAGTATATAATATATATGAGGGTATATAATCTTTTTTGAAGTACGAAAAATCTTTTCGCAACCGTCACAGGGGTAGCTTTTAGGTTCCTAAGTCTCCTCACGTCACGATTAAACCGTTTTTCCATCGTAAATTGTAACATAACAAAGTGTCCATTCTCAAAATCTACATGAAACATTTTATTCTTAGGTGTTTTGGCCTTTCATAGGCATATTTAGAGTTTAATGAAGTTCGAAAATAACTTGAAATCTCAAAAGAAATATATTAAATAATTACACGCATTATTGTTCGATCTTATCATTGCAATCGATTTTATACAAAATTGTTAAAGGTCAAAAACGCACGAAAATGCAATCAATAGCAATTTTTTAGATAATCCGGTCAGATTTCTGACAAAAGTCGTAAAACTTATCAGATGATTACTTCAAACAGCTAGTAAGCCAGTGTGCTTTGTTCGATACTTTTTGAAACTCCCATAGCACGAAATAGGAGTTTTAAGTTGGTGCCAGACAGAAAAATCCACTTCTTGACCGTCTCCCTTTCATAGGCAGTCTCAATGATGCAAATTATTCGATCAGTATTCGAAAATCGGATGATATTGGAAAATTGAATAACATTCGAGAACCGAATAATATTCGAAATTCGAATAACGAATGATATTCGATATTCGAATATTATTCGATTCGAAATTTTTATTTTCGAATAATATTCGATAGTCGAATATTCGAAATTTCCGATTCTCGAGTAATATTCGAAAGTCGAATATTTGTAATTTTCAATTTTCGAATAATATTCGATAGTCGAATCGAAAATTTCGGTTTTCGAATATTACTCGATATTCAAATATTCGAAATTTTCAATTTTCGAATATATTCGATATTCGAATATTCGAAAAAAATTTCGAATTTCCTCAAGTATATAAAACATACCTTTTGAAAAAGGTATTAAGCAGTGGCGGACCGAGGGGAGGGGAAGCGGGGGAGGGGAGAGCGTGCCATCCCCCCCCCCCGCCGAGAATGAGTTGCGAAAAAAATCACTTATGTGGGTTATAAAAATGTGCGAGTGACTTGTTTATTCTTGTAAACAATTGAAAATAATCTTCAAAATTTTTCAAAAATTCAAATTAGCGTTATAAAAAATTTTTTTCGGGGGCATGGCTGAAGCCGCACTCATTTGAAAAAAATTTTGCCGCTTCCCCCCCCCCCCTCCCTCCGACGGAATCTCTGGAACGCACTGGTAAGTGACTTTCTCCAACTGTTTTTTTTTCAATTCCAACTATACGTCACGGAATGATAAGACGTATTGCTTTCACAAATACATCATGGCTACATCTATAACGTATATGGAAGCGGAATTTATTAAGTAACCATAAATTTACTTACGGTTTGTTGGTGAGGTTGAGGGTGATGCTTCCTTTCAAATCTTCGCCGTAAGTGATATAGCCCAAAAGTCCAGTGGCGGTATTGAACAACGTAACAAGAAACATGGAAGTACTTATGACGCCAAGAAGGCCTAACATCTGTTTCGGTTTCTTCATTTTATTTTCAATTCCCAGTAGCTCCAATGCAAACATTGATAGGATTAAAACTTGTGAAGTAAACTCACCACACCCTGTCCTATATAAGCAAAAATAATGTTCCCACAAGACATGAAAAAGCCTTCGATATTCGAAAATCCTGTCAATTTTCCTATAGGAAGGTGACTCATTTGGAACATACGCTAAACGAAGTCAGTGAATGTTTCAATGCATCAAAGGAGATAATTGTACTTACCACGTAAAGTATAACTAGTGGAACCATAAGTAAAACAATTCCTGCTAATCCAATTAATGACATGAATACCACGTTGCTAACACTTGCAATGAGGAAGAAAAATGGCAGTACAACAAAAAACATGTTTTTTCGATTGAAGTCTTTCCCAGAGATATGATCAACCATCTAGAAAACATTTATTTGATTCGAGTCTCTTCTTGACAAAAAGCTTTTTTGACACGGTATGCAGAGGTGCCTAATGACGGAAAATCATAGTCAGAACATATTAAGTGATAACACTATGCTTTAATGCTAAAAGAAGAGACCAAATTTTCTCGTAAGTTGGCAAAGGTACTAACCTCTTTCGCATGGTCTACAACAAAGATATAGAATGCGCTGCTCAGTCCCAGCTGGAGGCAGATCAAGACAACATTTACGAAGATCCTGAAAACAGTAGAAACTAAATTCATAGCTTTTTTGCCACGAATTTACGCTCCTCGTTTGAGAAAGAAATGGCTTCTAATGATAACGATTGCTATAATCGAGAATGTTTGGAAAATGGGAGCAGGTCATACTTTTCTTGCGTTAGTTGGCATGTGAGAGGACCGAGCCCAGGGTCGGCACCGGCTGGAACCAAAGTGATTTTAAGCCATATACGAAAACTTTTTAGAAACCCCCTTTTTCGAGCTCTTACTATTACTTAAAGGCACCGTCCACCCAAACTGGGTTCGCTGAGATTTTGATGCCTAAAAGTAGCGGGGCCCTCAACTGTATAATTGCCCAACTCGCGCTATCAGAAGTCGCTTCCGAAGCGAGAAAATCGCTTCGATAATCGCTTGGATGACAGCTTTGAGTGGTGGGTGACGTTGGCCCCACAAGCCTGCCACTCAGTCGCATGTCGGCAGCGGGCCCATCGCGGGACAGGGCGCGCTTTCGCATATTTGATCAATTTTTTTATCTACCTTTGCGCGTACTAGGCGAAATCACTGCGTGGGCGGGGCCAACGTCACGCCCCACTCAAATTGTCATCCAAGCTATTTTCGGAGCAATTTTCTCGTTCCGGAAGCAACTTTTGACAGTGCGACTTAGGTGGTTATGCAGTTGAAGGCTCCGATACTGTTAGGCATCAAAATCTCACCGTCCAAAATTTGGGTGGACGTCTTTAAGAGATTTGCGCTTTGTTTGCGCTTTGCAAGCGGAGCATATTGCGCCATGAATAAAGATTTTTTAAAAGCTATGAAAATGAAAGAAGGATTACAGAATCGTTTTAGTTTGTATGGAAGATTTGTAGTAAAGATACCACCAACGTTAATAACGTGAAAACTATGTGAATAAAGGATTGGGTGGTGCTTAATTGGTACTCAGTTGGAACGGTTCCAGCGAGCATAGTTCGAGCTTCCTCACGCGCATGCATACACAGCATTTGGTGTCGTATCATTCCGTTTTAGTCTTAGTCACTATTTCTTTAGTTATAGCGCCATTTCTCGTTTTGGCGCTTTATTGGAGCGCCACCGGCATACCTGGGCTTGCTGTGACACGCTGGAGGTCAAACTGAGACTGAGTATGCCGCCAGCGTGCCCATTCTTGAACTGTTAAATCTGATGTGCATGTCTGAAAAGAATTTGAAGAATGGTACTGGGATATTTTTTCCCTTGTGTGCGAATGTCGATACATTATTCTGCAACTTTTTTCCTAGCTTCGTACAAGACCCCGCAAAAACCGTGTACCTCAACATGTACCTCAACATGAACAGTTTGGTGGTGTTTTTCCATTTTGTCTTGCTTTCTTCAGCTTCCTCAGTTTTACTAGACCTCCGAAGATTCGCGGCTAACAGCTCACTTGTAGTCTTGCTGTCTCTAGACTCATACCAAAAGAAGGCCTTTCCTTTTCACCAGACTCATACCAAGATAAGGCCTTCCCTTTAACTTCACTTTTTCTAAAAGTAAATCCTATTAAAGCATTTTTTTAACATGGTCAATGCAAAGTTCACTGACGTACTGATAGAATAGCAACTTTCGCTTTTACGATGCATGGTAATAAATGCGCATACAATTACTTCAAAAAAAGCAACAATGTCACTTTTTTCTCCCAGTTATGATTTTCTACATATTGCGTACACTGGAATTGTACTTTGGCACGTTATAACATATTGAAGTCTTTTTTCTTCAAAGACTTGAGAATCACATACATTGCAGGTTTTCCAAATTTCCGCAGTTTTGGTGAATCGTTACTTGCAAACGCTTCACCAGCCATCTCACCGTAATCGAAGTTGACTCTAAACAGTGCAATTTCTCGAAAAAAATCTTGGATGTGAAGTTTTCAAGGTAGATACTTAGCATCAGCCGATTATGAATTTGCTTTCTTTTTATTAGGACATACAAATAAAGCTACACTAACTCCTCAGTCTCTTCCTCTACTTCCTTTTTGATTTCGCTTTCAACAGTGAATATTTGCTTTTGATTCTCATCATTGCCATCCTATAAGATCATTTCTAATCTATGAGTTTTTTAATTAACCAAGTTCACCTCTTTAACTAATGTAAGCTTCCTAAGGGTTACCGGTTGATCCTCACCAGTGTCCTAGACCGAATTTTACTTTCGAGGTTTAAGTGAAGGCTAATTGCTTACCGCCTCGATATAATCATATGTAGACTCTGGATATACCTTTGCGCCGCCGTTTGGAGTGCTTTTTAAGTTTAGCCTCCTGAATCAAGTCATGTCGGTATGCGCTTCTTAGCAATAGCAAAAAAGTCTCAAACAGCTTAAGTCCTACTTTGCCACTAGAAATTGTGCGCTCTGCACAATCTTCATCATTCCATGAGCATTGATAAAACCAATAACAACAGTCAGAACAAGGCCTGTCTGAAATAAAGCAATTCCACGAGAAACGAAGTAAACAAAAAACACTTGATGAGCAGACATCCAGCCAAGACATACCCAAAATCCAGCCAGTTTGAAAGCCTGCGGCATGGCGAATGCTCCCACTCCAAGAGTTGCTTTGAAAAGATTGATAAACGCATATATACTCCTAAAATACAGCCGGTGACCCATGAACTATGTAAAAAACCGAATAGAGATATTTGTACAAGATGTCTCAAGCGTATACATGCTGTTTGATTTTCTAATCTCATTCCCCACAAATCTTTGTCGACCTCTAGGCACAATTCTATAAAGCTAGCTTGTAGCCATGGTAAGAGGGTTGAAGAGTTTTACGATAAAAGGCGCAGGAGTTGTCAAGAATTTGTCCGAAAAAGCTGAAAACTTTATAACTGGCTCAATAGACAAACCTTTCAACTCAAGACAATTCCATAAATGAGGATTTTGTTTCACAGTAATCTCGAAGTTTGGAAGTTACGATCTTTATTCAAGGAAATCTACGATCTCAATTGCTCACGCATATACACTCCACATACAATATCTTGTCCTCGGTTACATTCCGCAAACGTTAGTTTTCGAGAAGTGTCGAATTTAGCTTTTCTTAATGGGGTGTTTCAGGCTGAAATCCCTATTTTTTAGGAACTAAGGTTTGTATAGAACTAAAAATTTACGGTTGTTTTAGAGGTCGTAGTATACAATCACTTATGTGAGAAGGCTACAGTGCTGGCCAAAATTCTAGGTCCACTAAAATGCCATAACTCACTCTGTTGTGAATGAAATTTCCAAGATTTGGTAGAGACGTGTGTTTACCAGCCTACTATCAGTCTTCAAATCGGTTCTCGTTTTCCTTTGATTATTGAAGAAAAAATTAGAAATTTTGAAATAAGGAGGCTTGAAGGCTGGCCAAAATTATAGGTCCACCTGGAGTTTTTACTGCTTAAAGCACTTCTTAGCTCCCGAATTTTTTTAGGTAGGCACACATCCAAAAACGTTAAACAGCTGCATTGGTCAAGCTGTGTCATACCTCCAAAAAGAACTGATTATCTGATTTTTTGCCTTGTAGATGCACTCACATGTATTTCGCTCCACAAATCTGCGTTGAGTAAGAAATTCTGCATTTCTCAGCTGGATCGGAAGGGGCGGGGTTTCATCCATCTTCTGGATGCTTTTTGACGTGAGCATTGAGGAAAAAATCCGACTTTTTGCTGCTGAAGCAAATTCGACATCGGCTTAATCGGCAGAGTAAGCCTCAGTTTCTGCCTTAAAACTCTTTATGCATTGTCATTATAACCTCAAGATATTGTAGAAGCATTTTTTACACAAGAATGAAGCTTTTCGCCATACTCGCAAGTGTCCACAAAGCTGCCTTGCTTCTTTTTCGAAACATGAGTTGTGTGTGCAACGTAATAATGGTGTTACGCGATCCAAAATAGCTTTCCAAGTGCTACCTCACTTAGATTTTTGACAGTAATAATTTACTAGATAGTGGATACAGCTTGTAGTGTATGTTAGCACATGATTCTTCTGAAAATTTTGGTCGGAGCCACAAGTAGCTTTGGTGCTTGTCGTAATCAGTTTCTGCAGAGTGATTTCAGTAATTATACTCGAATGCTAGGATCTCTAGAAATTTGTAAATATGGTATACGGACTCCCCTTCATAGAAACAATGCCCTTACTTTACTCGATGCTTCTGAGAACATTGTAAAAGAAGTTTGAAGGCAGAAATTTGAGCTCAGGATTGCAGTACTGTCAATGTCAGATTTGCTTCAGCAGCAAAAAGTCGGATTTTTTTCCTCAATGCTCACGTCAAAAAGCATCCAGAAGATGGATGAAACCCCGTCCCTTCCGATCCAGCTGAGAAACTGCAGAATTTCTTACTCAACGCAGATTTGTGGAGCGAAATACATATGAGTGCATCTTCAAGGCAAAAAATCAGATAATCAGTTCTTTTTGGAGGTATGACACAGCTTGACCAATGCAGCTGTTTAACGTTTTTGGATGTGTGCCTACCTAAAAAAATTCGGGAGCTAAGAAGTGCTTTAAGCAGTAAAAACTCCAGGTGGACCTATAATTTTAGCCAGCCTTCAAGCCTGCTTTTTTCAAAATTTCTATTTTTTTCTTGAATAATCAAACGAAAACGAGAACCGATTTGAAGACTGATAGTAGGCTGGTAAACACGTCTGTACCAAATTTTGAAAAATTTCGTTCACAACAGAGTGAGTTATGGCATTTTTTAGGGACCTATAATTTTGGCCAGCACTGTACAGCACTGCTTTGCTGAAGGCAGGAAAATTTTTGTTTCTCGAATTGCTAGTCGAGGAAAACATAGGGTACTGTAAATGAATGTCTGATGTGGAATGTATATGCGTGAGTGCTTGATTTTGCTTCAAAGTTGAAGTGGATTGAAGCTGGTAATTTTATAAACCATATACAGTGCTAGATTCAATTATGAAGACACTCTAAAAATCGTCGTAATGCGTTCTTGTTGATGAATCCATCCACAGCTTTGCTGTATAGTGCGCATGTTAGCCTAACATAACCCCTTGAAACGACTTCCAATCTTGCTGTTCGAACGGAAAAAAATAGGAAAATTCAAAAAAGCTCCTACTGAAAGCTGGACAAAATTTTAAAGCCACACGGTTTTTTGAACACTAGCAATCCCCTAAATCTAAAATTTTTTGTACGTTTACACTAAGATATGAAACACTTGCAACACCTGCGACTTGTCATCCTTTTTAAAAAAATAATGACAGCATTTTTCGCTTTCAAAGGCATCAAAAGTGAATGTACTTCAACACACAGCTGGTTTGAGGAGCTCTGTTGCTTGAAAATTGAGTTTTGTGGTTTGACAACGTGACAAATCTATGCTAATGTTGGAATCTGTCGGTCTATATCAGCGATCACGCAGAGTTTAGGAGAGCACTTTTTAACTTATCTATCGAAAAGGCTTAGCGAATTCCATGATTCATTTTAAATGAGCAAGAGTCTTAAAACCTCTTAAACCAGCTGTATGTTGCAGCACATTCACTTTGATTTTGAAAGCAAAAAATGCAGCGATCAATTCTCTTTAAAGTGATGAAAGGTTGCAGATGTTGCAGATGTTGCAAATGTTTCAAAATCTAATATGTAGCTGTACAAAAAAAAATTTTTAGAGCCAAGGGAAGCGATACTGTTCAAGAAAACATGTCGCTCTATAATTTTGTCCAGTCGGTAGGGGCTTTATCAAATTTTTCTATTTTTCTCCGTTTCAACTCAAGATTGGGAGCCGTTGAGAGATCACAGCAGGCTAACGTTATAAGCAGAGTTTCGGACAATTCATCAACCCGAACGCAAATTACGACGATTTCTGGAGTGTGTTCATATGTCCAGCACTATAGTTAAGCTTGCTTTGCTCTATCGAATGGTTCCCTACTGTATTAAGAATGTAAAATGTACGACCTACTGCCTTACTACGGAAGCAACCCACAGCGTAACGACTAATACTCTTAGATCACTTCGGATTACATCCAAACTATAGACACAAGCTTGTTAGTTTAATTAGCTTACCCGATCTTTTTTTCCACCATTTTTCCCGCTGAGGATTACAAAGGTGGTGACAAGTGATCCTAAAATTTACGCTGCATGCATGTATGCTGTGGATGATTTACAGCTAATTCCAAATATATTAGGTTGGCTAGAAAGTTCTTGCGTAATTCAAACAAAATTCGATAACTTTTCAATGACTAAACCTAAGTTCACAATTTTGTTCCCTAAAAATATTAGAAGGCCTGCTCTCTGTGATGGATATTTAAGCGCAAGATTTCATGAGCTAGCCCCCGAGTACGAAGCTCTCAAATATGGGACTTCAAAATTTGCAATTTTGAGTTTGGTGCCAGAAAATCGCAGAGAGCCGCTAGCCAGCTGAAAAAAATCTGTAGAATTTACTTACACAGCAAAAGTCCATATGTTATTTAGCAGGCTTTAATCTCGCATGGAAGCGCGAAAACAAAAAATTTGTGGAATTTGTCATTTTACAGGATAAATCCCCTTATCGATGTAATTTTTCCACAAAAACACAGTTTGCTACCAGAAATAAGACATATTGGCTATTTAGAACCTTGCGACGTTTTTTGGAGTGTAAAAAATTGTTTTTGCCAAAAAACTGCGGTAATGAGTGGATTTTTTCGGCAAAATGACTACTTCACGAATTTTTTGTTTTTGCTTCACCCGTGCAAGATCAAAGCCTTCCAAAGTAACTTATGGACTTCTGCAGTGTAAGTAATTTTTACAGATTTTTTTCGGCTAGCTAGCGGTACTCTGCGATTTTCTGGCCCCAAACTCAAAATTGCAAATTTTGAAGTCTCATATTTGAGAGCTTCGTTCTCGGGGGCTAGCTCATGAAATCTTGCGCGTAAACATCCATCATGGAGCGCAGTTCTTCTAATATTTTTAGAGAACAAGATTTTGAATTTGGGTTTAGTCATTGAAAAGTTATTGAATTTTGTTTGAATTACGCAAGAACTTTCTAGCCAACCTAATAAAAGCAGATTAGAAGAGTTTTATAGATTGCAGCTTCCAAAATTTATTTAGATTAGCTGCAATAATTCCAGATATTTCTACGGTTTTGGGATATTCCCTCCTCATCTTAGGCTAATGAGGTGAAAACCATTTAGAATTAAAAGGAAAGGGAACTAATTCTAGCAACACGTGTAATCTGAAGAAATGACGCATGCATCTGAAACTGAAAAAGACTTGTGGTAGTCAGGAAGAGGGCATTTACAATTACTGCTAGTCAAGCACATGACATTTGCTTATCATTTCAAGATGGGGCTTACTGGAATTTGTTGATGGACAGAAAAGCTGTGTAATATTTTATTAATCATATTGAATGCTGAGAGAAATGTGGAGAAATCCACAGCAAAAAGGCGCAAATTCCAATATCGATGCATTTTCCTTTTTTGATGCTCAGTTGAATACGGCATTCCGTAAAACTTTTGCAGTGGCTTTAGGCCCAGGGCATACCTCACGCGGTTTAGCAATACTCCAATTGTTCATAACTCATCGTGAGGAGCTTCTCAACGTACGATACACAGGGCATTCTATCAACCTACAAAGCTATAAATGCGGCGCATTTGGGGTTCGGCCAGTACTAAATATAAAGACGACTAGAAAATTGCCACATCACGTCGCGACTGAAATCGCATTAGGAATGCCCACGGCCTTAGCGGCTCACAAGGACCGCTGTAGTCTTCTAGCTGAAAAATTTGGTTGCCCCTTGGACCTCAGTGTTGTTTACATCACTCGCAGAAAGCCAAGTCGAATTTTTGTTATTCGTTTGAATAATACCAGCTGAAACACTTTGGAATATCATAGAACTAAGGAGGTAATGGACTAGCAGAAGCGAAAAATCACTTGCGTTGTCAAAGTGCATAAGTGCATTACTGTCAAAGGGCTTTCAAACATTAGCGTTTTTTTTCAGTCGTTATCAAAGTAAAATCTTTGAAGCCGCAACAACAAAAACTTCCTTCCTTGTAAGTGTAGTAGCTGTGAATCTACTGCAAAATCATCAAGTATCGAAGATTAGTGTCTCAGAAGTAGTAAGCGCATGTGAGTGCTTTTTCTTTCAGAGTTCAAAGGTTCACTATTTTCTGAAAGGAATATTAAAGCCTTTCCAAACTTCCTTCAAACGTAATCACATAAAGGTCATACTGCATACGCTATATTTTGCGGTTAAATCAAATGGGCTGCAACTAAAATTCTTAGCTGTGGACTCCAGTGCGCTTATAGTGCCGCAGTGGCGTTCGTGGCGTGACGACATAGGGCTGCGTTGCGAATGTCCGCGCGAGACCCCTTTACACAATTTAAAGGCAGTGGCTAGAGAAAATGATGATTGCAAGTTTTCCATGCCATTCTGGCCTTCGAGCTTTGAGACCGGGACTGTAATGGAATCTCTCGAAGTTGTCAAAACAGCGCTTTTTATGGCTTTTCCGGCCTCGGACTTGCTGAAGGAGGTGCGCAAGCGATTCCCGTCAACTGTGGCGCGATTGGCTGATTGCGCCAACCAGCCAATCAAAATAGACGTAGTGACTCCGCACATACAGTCTTCTGCAGCCAGTAGTTGTTTTGGCGGAAATCGCTCGCCCATCCCCTTCAGCAACCTCTAAGGTAATCGTTATAAAAACACTTTTTTGACAGTCGAGAGATCTCACAATGCTGGACTCAGCGCATCCAGAATGCCAAGGGGGATTGCCAAGGAAAACTTTCGCAAATAGCACTGCCACTGCTTCTTTGAAGGCCCGTTCAGTATGAAAACTTAGAGTAAACGGTGCCCGTTCTGATAAAGCTCGCGCCCTAGTGTGACGCACCATTTGCTTTGAAAGCGAGAAAAAAAACTGATAACGCATCGAGTAATGTTAGAATTTGCGCGAGATCAACTCAGGGATTGTGTGAGCGACAGCAAATGACTAATTCACTGCTCACCTGCGAAGCTGTACCCATTACTGTATTAAGCCGACAACTTGCATTCGGCTCGCATGCATTGCGCGGCTACCCACGATCCCTGTAATGAGTTCCCGCAAAATTGCAAATCGACTCAAGTCGTTCGCCAAATGGTAGCCGAGACAGAGATGGAGATGGATTTCTTGCCCCACATAAATGGAAACATTGCGCTGGCGCATATACCTGATACCCATATACCTTACCTACTTGAGACCAGGGTTGAGGTGAGATCAGGCGCGCCCGACCTGGGGAATCGTATTGAGGGTAACACTGAGGGGGGGGGGTCGTAATTAAGAATCGAATCTGTCAAGTTGGGGAGATACTGCAAAGGTGAAGAAGAAATGCGTAGTCCGGTGGATATCGCGATCACATGAAGGAGTGACGGTCATAAACAGCATACTGATTGTTTCCATAATGGAAGTTTCAGCCAAAATTCAAATCTTCATCTCTTTTACCTTGACATATGAGGTCGACAAGGAGGCCTGCTGTGTGAAATGGGCATTATTTCCATAATCAACATGCCAAATTACCTCTATGCGCTCTACAAACCATTACCTACTGCAGTTTCTAGTGTTTCTCAAGCGTGATTTTCAAACATGATTAACTTGGTTTCAGAAGTGAGAAAAGTGAGCTTTGTATACTCATAATAAAGTAATGTTCTCTACAAGTCTATGCTACAAATCGGGCTTCTATCGCTTTCAAACAGTGATGTAAAAAGTGCTGCCAAAATTCTAACCGGCGCGTTTTTCACGTTGAGTGCTTCGACTCCTCGGATTAGCACGAGGCCGAAACAATTCGAATCAAGCTCAAACACTCAATGTGGAATCTTCGAGGGTTGAGCTAGCGAATAACATAAAACTTAGATAGAAAAGCTTTTTCGGAAATAAAGTTAATGGGGTCAGGCGCAACCCCTCAAAAGGTCAGGCCGCCTAAGCTTTTGAGGTGTTGCGCCTGACCCTCTTAACTTGCCTTTAAAATTCAGAAATCGCCCCTTTCTGATATGAGTATTGAGCGCAAAGCCTCTTCTTGCTATATTAAAATTTGGAGCCAAACACTCCACCCCTGTGAAAATTATAGCTCTGAAAAGGACTATCCAGATCTAAAACTTGCCGTCAAGTTGCGTGTGGTTGTGCAACGCAGAAAGTCGGGCGTACGGACTTTCAAAAAATAGAAACCTGCAATGAAGGCTGGTCTTCTTCAACATATAACACCCTGAGGACTTGGAGGTGAAGCGGAGGGTCTTTAAGGGCTTTTACAGGGGGGGGGAGGTCGTTTTTGAAGGGCTTCTGCCTGACCTCTTGTTCAACCCTGCTTGAGACACCACAGTCATGATGTGTCTAGATTTTCTCGGTGCTGTCTCTGACTTCAATCAAAAGGACTTGTGATCAGGGTCAAGCGTGGGGTGTGGCATGCCACACCTGGAGAGTCGTATTGAGGAATCAGGGAGGAGGGGGGGGGGGGTCGTTATCAAGGCGTCCGCTGTTCGCATAACGTGATAACGTTAACAATGTCAAATAGGCCCGTCATGCAAAATATTGGCATTTTGATGTTTGACCCATCAATACGTAAAGTAAGCATAATTAAAGTAAAGCATAAGAGCATCGTTTTGTAATTAGCAAGTAAAACAACCCCTATGGTCCACGTTTCAGCGAATTCTGAGGTTTCCAAACACAGGAGCAAAGGCAGCGTACACCCAAAATTAGAGTTACCTAATTTTCTAGATCCTTCTCTACCGTGTATATACTGGGCCCAGAAGAAGACCAACTGCGTTGGTCCAGTCTCCCAATGTTGCTTCTGAGCGGAGAAAACCTCCCTCAACTTCTTTCATTCCGCCCCTTTTTGTTCACTCCGCCTCCTCCGGACGAGTCCACGACAGCGTAAGCTGCAGTTGCAGTTGCAGTTGCTGCTGCAGTTGCAACAGTGCAGTTGCTTTTTGCGGTGCGTCTCCTTCAGACAACAAATCCACGACAACATACGCTGCAGTTGCAGTTGCAACTACAGGCTGTGATGCAGTTGCAGCTGCTCCTCGCTGGCATGCCGACGGGGACGCGCAATTCGAAACTTGTCCGCCCCTGAAGAGAGGGTCCCTGGAAATGGGGGTTTTTTGAGACTTTCAGAGAATTATAATGTCATACCTGTAATCAGGGGCACGGAAAGGCCCCAAAATGACAAAAACATCGAAGGCGAAATTTTGGGTGTACGCTGCCTTCAAGTGAGATGGCCGTTTTCAAACATGTTACTTTGTTTTAAAGTTAAGTTGACTACTTCTTCTTGCACTTAATGCAAAGAAGTACTACTTCTTTGCTTACATTAGGAACCCTACTTCAAATGACCTCCAAATTAAGGAATTTGGAGCAAGCCAAAATCTCGTTTGTTCCATTTTTCGGTAATATCTCAGGCTAGAGAAGACCACTCAGGCTCAAATCACTTTAATGTAGATTACGAGGCTTAGACTATCGAATATATACATTCTTGTCGCCTTCCCTTGCGATTCGCATAGTAGCGCAGACTTAGCGTGTTACCGTATAACAATATTTTCGCAGTATTTTACCAGTATTTTACATTTACATAGGTAAAACGATTCTATCTTGCTCTTGAAGAAACGTTTACACATGAAATTTCTGCTATGTAAAGAAGAAGGTTAAACAGTAACAACGATATAAAAAAGGCAGCTATTTGATCTGTTTGAAGGTAAGTTAATGGGGTGTGGTACCACCCTTGAAAAACTGTGGCAGCCACAGCTTTTTAGAGGTGGTGCCACACCCCGCTAACTATATAAAAAAAACATTTTTAGCGAACGTTATTTATATGAATCGATAGCCTAGTCTTCGTAAATTTCACAGGAATGATTTGAGCCCAATTCTTCTTCTTAGCTCTGAATAATATTTGGTGAAAGCACAGCCATTAAAAGCGAAAAATAGGAAAAACAAGATTTTGATTGGCTTCTAATTCCAAAGTTAGGAGGTCTTTTGAAGCGAGATTTCTGAAGTGGCCAAAGAAGGAGCAGTGCTTTGTCTTGAGTGCAAAAACAGCTAGCTACTTCACCTTTAAAACAGAGTTAATCATGCTGGGAA